TTTTTTTATGTGACTTTTCAATTTCCCAAGTTGCTTTCAAAATGTTTTCCCTGTCATTAGTTTTATAAAGTTTGATTATGATATGTTTGGGTGATTTTCTTTCAGCGTCTTTCATGTGTGGATTTGTTTAAAATTAAGACCCCTATGAGACACGTCTATAATATCATAATTGACTAAAAAGCACCTCACAATAAGAATTGTGAGTTGGGGATCCGTTAGCCCATTGCCATCAAGCCAGTTCTGACTCATAGTGATCCTAAACAGAGTATCAAAGTCAATAAAGATTTAAGGGAGTAGACTGCCTCATCTTTCTCCTATGGAGTGGCTTAGGGGTTTTAACCACCGATTGTGCAGTTCACAGTCCAGCATGTACTCAAGAGCAACACCAAGTCTTCGTTATGAATCCCTTAATGTTGTTTATGTCTCCACAGGGGAAGAGAGACCAGACTTCAGCCTAGTGCTCCAAGATGTGAATGCAACATACCAGCAGGAAGTAGGGAACCAGAAGAAAGGTCTGAGGTCTTGGCCCCAATCCCAACTATGTGGCCAGCTGCCCCTCCCCACAGAAGAATTTACTTCATAGGACAGCACTGAAGCTGCAGCTCCGGGAGAGGGACATGGCTGATCAGAGCACATGGGAGCAAATGAAGGGGGAGGAAGGGAGAGTGGAGCACACCCTGGCCCACCAAGCCTTGAGGACAATATTCCTACTCAGAGCAGCCAATCCAGAGAGAAGAACATATGGCCAGCCCCACTATGAGACACAACTTCCCTCACTGACCCATAGCCCTACAGGGGACAACACTAGAGACACAGTGGGAATTGCGCCTGATCTGACCCTACTACCCCGAGGCAAAACACTAAGGGCGTGGAACAGAACAGCAAGGGGAGCAGAGCAAGGAAGTCCTGAGGGAGTACCAAAGGTGGGCTTTGGGGCCAGGGCGTGGCACCCTGTCAGACTCCACCGAGAGCACTCTTAAAAGCCAACAAACAGTCCTTGAACTATTTACAGGCTTTTCATTTTTATGTCATTGGTTTTTGT